TCGTAAACAATAGTGAGCTCATCGAGGACAAGGGAGACAGCTTTCAAGAAAACACTCACAAAATGTGAAGTTGAAAAAATATATTCTATTTTTGGTTTGATTTTGTTGGGGAGATGTGGAACGCAGACCCAGACATACATGAATCCACACAATGCATGATCAGGTAAGTTTACAACCACTAATAATTTTAAGTACTAATATCAGCTGGCACTTCAACACAAGCAGGTGTCTTGTAAACTTGAATTCATCCGTATAAATTCCACTTTAGTTGAAACATGAAAATAGTTGACTGTGTGTATGACACTAGACTATGGCCTTCACTTTGTGGAATAATTATTAACAATTAACACGCGATAGAAATGAGATTATTTACATTTTAGTGTGCTCATCGAGGACAAGGGAGACAACTTTCAAGAAAACACTCACAAAATGTGAAGTTGAGAAAATATATACTATTTTTGGTTTGATTTTGTTGGCGAGAGCTGGAACGCAGACCAAGACATACATGAATCCACACAATGCATGATCAGGTAAGTTGACAACCACTAATAATTTTAAGTACTAATATCAGCTGGCACTTCAACACAAGCAGGTGTCTTGTAAACTTGAATTCATCCGTATAAATTCCACTTTAGTTGAAACATGAAAATAGTTGACTGTGTATGACACTAGACTATGGCCTTCACTTTATGGAATAATTATTAACAATTAACACGCGATAGAAATGGGATTATTTACATTTTAGTGTGCTCATCGAGGAGAAGGGAGACAACTTTCAAGAAAACACTCACAAAATGTGAAGTTGAGAAAATATATACTATTTTTGGTTTGATTTTGTTGGCGAGAGCTGGAACGCAGACCCAGACATACATGAAGTGCACACCAGTCCACACGATGCATGATCAGGTAAGTTTACAACCACTTTACTCTCTTACTTATATTAGGAGATTTTACGTGCGCTTTCCGACTGGAGCGGTTTTTCGCACACGGGCCCGGCCGGGCCATTTAGTGAGATAAAAGGGAAGCAAGATGTGTGCAACCAAGGAGGGGGGTTTAGTGGTTGCTTATATAAAATTTTGAAATTTTGAGATTTGGAAGACATGCCTTGGGGGAGTGGTTGGGACTAAGGGAGTGTGTGGGGGTGAGTTGTTGTTTTTAGATGTTAGTGTTGGTGGTTAATGAAGTTTTAGATACGATTAATTAGGTCTGTTTTGGTTAGGTAAATGCCTAGGGCTTTGAAGTTTTCTATTTTATTTTGAGGGTTTAGGATTGCTTCTAGTTTAAGAGCTTTATTTGGATTTAGGTTGGTTTGTAATGTTGTACGGTGGGTGAGGTAGTGGGTGCAATGTAGGAGTACGTGATCTATTGTTTCTGGGTGAGTGCAGTGTGGACACTTCCCGTTTGCGTGTTTTTTTAGTTTTTGAAGGTGGTTATTTAGTTTGGTGTGTCCTGTTTGGAGTTTGGTGATTATTCTATCGATTTTTTTGGAGGGATGGAGGATTTTTGGTTTGGTGAGGGTTTTTTTGAGGACTTTTGTGATTTGGGTGTTTGTGTTTTGATAGAGGCTATGCCATTTTTGGGTGATTTTGCGTTTGTTGATGCTTTTGATCTCTGATTTACTTATTGGTAGCTTAAGGCTTATCTCTGGTATTTTTAGGGACTGTTTAGCGGCTTGGTCGGCGTTTTTTTTATTTCCGTATATTCCTACGTGGGCTGGTATCCAGGTGAGTACTATGTTTTTGCCTGCCTCTGTTAATTTATCTATACTTTTGAGAATTTGGTTTATTAATTTGGGGCGGTTTTTGGTGTTTTTGCTTTGGAGGGCCTGTAGTCCACTTAGTGAGTCTGAGAGTATTAGGATTTTATTTTGGTTTTTAGTGTGTTGGCTGTGGAGGGCCGTGGCGATACCCATGAGTTCTGCGGTGAAGATGGATTGGTTGTTTGGGAGTCGGAAGGATTGCGTATTTCTTATTGGTTGGGCTATGTGGACTCCGAAACCTGTGTGATTTGTGATCGGATCAGCAGATCCATCTGTGTAGATGTGACACCAATTTGGCCAGTTTTGATGAATGTAAGCTAGTGAGGTGGATTTAGCTATGTTAGGGTCAGTTTGTTTGTTTATTGTTTTGGCTAAGGATGTGTCTATTTTGGGGATTTTAAGTTTTGGGGTGAATACGTTGGATTTTTTGCAGTTTAGTTGTTGGTTCCCTATTTGGTGTTCGTTGCGGTAGTTTATAATACGTTGGGAGATTGGAGTGAGTAGAGGGTGTTTCCTAGTTAGTGCCTGGTTTTGGGGACGTATGTTTTGGTTTAGGAGATTTTGGAGAAGAGGGTTTGATTGAGAAGCTGCCCAGAAGTTTAGTGTTAAGTGTTGCCTACGTAGGTTTAGTGGCATTTCTCCTGTGAGGGCCTGAAGTGACGTAAGGGAGGTGCCTTGTTGGGTACGTGTGACTAATTTGAGGGCTTGGTATTGTATTGAATCTAGTTTTTTGGTTAAGGTTTCGTTTAAGGTATCGTATATGGCACAGCCGTAGTCTAGTTTGGATCTGATTAGGGATGTATAGAGGCTGAGGAGGGTATCTTTAGAGGCACCCCAGTTGGAGCCGGTTAGACATCTTAGTGTGTTTAAATCTTTGCTACATCTGGTGGTTAGGTTTTGGACGTGGGCATCCCAGGAGAGATGTTCGTCGAATATTAGTCCTAAGAATTTGGTTTGTTTCTGAAATTGGATTGGTTTGTTGTTTAGTTTAAGGGTAGGGGTGGCCCGTCTCATATTTTTATGTTTAAATACTATTCCTGTGGTTTTTTCAGAGTTTAGGGAGAAAACCCATTTATCGGCCCATTGTTGTATTTTGTTTAGTGATTTCTGTAGTAAGTCCTGGGATGTTAAAATACTTTTAGAGCGGATCCAGAGGGCTCCGTCATCTGCAAATTTGGAAGTATTTATTTTAGGGGATAAGCCATCAAAGAGATCGTTTATCATTATGTTGAAAAGTGTGGGGCTAAGAATGCTGCCTTGGGGCGTGCCGTTTTCTAGTGGACACCGGTCCGACAAGGCCTGGTCTATACCCACTGTGATTTTACGGTTTTTAAGGAAGCTTTGGATGTAGTTTATGATTTGACCTTTTAGTCCTATTTTTTTAAGTTTTTTGGTTAGCCCGTTGTGCCATACCATATCGAAGGCTTTGGAAAAGTCCAGAAAGATGCCTGTTGTATATTGTTTATTTAGTTGTCCTGTTTTAATATCCTGTTCTAGACGTGCTAGGTTGTCTAAGGTTGAGCGGCCGGGAGTAAAACCGCTTTGGTCTGAATTAATTATATTGTTTTGGGTTAAGTAGTGTTGGAGTCTTTTTTTTGCCATGGATTCCATTACTTTGCATAGGTTAGAGGTGAGCGATATTGGCCTATAGGAATTTGCTTGGTTGGCTGGCTTCCCGGGTTTAGGAATGGGGATAATAAGAGCTTCTTTCCAAGGGTTTGGAACCTGGCCGTTTAGATAAATTAGATTATAGAGTTTTAGTAGTGTCTGGAGTAGTTTGGGCGGGAGTTTTTTGATTATTTGGTGGGAAGTTAAGTCTAGACCTGGGGCTGTACCTTTTTTCCTATTTTGAAGTACGTGGTTTAGTTCTTCTATTGTGTAAGGTTGGTTTATTTCTAGGTTGTTATTGTTTAGTTCTTGGATAGGTTTGGTTTCTGCCTGGAGTTTTTGTTTGAATTTATGGCTGAAGTTGTTATTGCTACTTGTGGCCGAAAAGTGGTTTGCCAGGTTATTTGCTTTTTCGCTGGGAGTATTTGAGTTGTTTATGCTAGGCGGTTTTTTTTTTTTTTTAAGCCTCTGACGGCGTGGATTTTGCGCAAGACTGTTCTGGCATCTGTGCGATTATTTAGTCCCTCGCAGAATTTTTTCCAATCTCTGGTTTTTGCTATTTTGACTAGTGTTTGGACTTGGTGGTTTAGTTGGTGAGCTACTGGTATGTGATTATGGTCGCGTTTGGCTTTATTGAAGGCTGATTTACGTTTTTGTCTAGTTTGTTCTATTTCCTCGTTCCACCAAGGTACAGAGGGCCTACCTGATTTATTTGGTTTTTTGAAAGGGATTGCGCTTTTGGCTGTGTTAATTATGAAGTTGGTTAAGTTTTGGCAGTATATTTCTGGGTCATCATTTTCTATGTTTTGTAGGTTTACTTGATTGCAATTATCTTAAAATTTGTCCCAGTTAGCTTTGTTGTAATTAAATTTGGGCTCTGAGCTTTCGGTTTGGTGGGGGACGTTAGTATTGCCTATGGTTATATTTATTGGGAAGTGGTCACTTCCTAGGGGGGCGTCGTGAACTTCACATTGTGTGCTTTGAGCTAGATCTGCTGTGCAGATTGTTAGGTCGATAGCCGACATGTTGTTATTGCTTTTATCGTATCTAGTGGGTTGGTTATTATTTAGAAGTACTAGATCGTTAGCCTCTATCCATTCTGAAATTAGTTTGCCGTCGTTATCTAGTTTATCCCCCGTGCCCCAGGAGGGGTGGTGGGCGTTAAAGTCTCCTAGGAAGATGGATGATTTGGTGCTTATTTGTTTGAGAGTATTTAGATCCTCCGGTTGGATTATTTGTTGTAGCCAGTGGTAGATATTTACGATGTTTATTTTTTTGTTATTTAAGGTGATTTGGACGCCATTGGCTTCTAGGTTTGGGGTATTGACTAGGATTTCTTCGTAGTTTATGTCCTCTCTGATTAGTATAATTAGGCCTCCCGATGCTCTTAGTACTTTTGATTTAGGTCGGTCTAGTCTGACTGTGTTATAGTTTGGAAGATTAAATTTTGATTTGCTTGAAAATTTGGTTTCCTGGATACACGCTACATGTGGTCCCTGTTTAAGTTTAAATCTAGCTTTAAGTTCGTGGCTGTGGGAGTTTAGCCCGTCCGCATTCCACTGGAAGATATTTAGGCCTGTCATTATTTGGGCTTTTAGTGTTTGGAGATTATGATTTTGGTTTTGTTTTTAATTTATAGTCCTGCGGTTGCTAGGGAGTAGCTTGCGTAGAATTCTGGGTAGGTTTGGTTTGTAAGATTTAGTCTACGAGCTACTTGGTGTAGGTTAGTGGCTTTAATGTCTGGTTTGATTTCTTTCAGCAGGTAGAGTAGTAGGAGTGTAAAGTTATTTAGTTGGGTATTTAAGGGTGTTTCGGGTTCAGGTTGAGTTTGAGGTCTGCGTTTGCGGTTTTTGAGATTTTTGGGGGCTGACCGTGTTATATCATTTATGTTAAGCTGAGTTTCGGTTTGGGAGTCATCTAAGTTAATAAGATTAGTGTCCTCACTATCCATGGGGGTTGTTTGAGTGTTTTGTTGTGTCGTGCTGGGTATTTCAATGGGTTGAGTTATGTTTGCGTTTTCGGGTGTTGCTTGCTCGTGTCTGGTTGTTGTTGCCCTGGTGGCTGCTGATTGTATGGTGTTTGGGTGGGATATGGCAGGTATGGGGAGTTTTGGTTTGCGTGCGGGAGTAGATGCAGTGACTGGTTTGGGTGTGGCGAATGTTGGCGGGAAGTGCGGGGTTTGGGTGTTTGTGGCTGTTGCTTGTGGTATTTCCATGGGGATGCCGTCAAACAGGCTCTGTAGGTGTGGTTTGTTGTTTGGTTGTGGTGTGGGTAGCAAGGGTGTTCTTGGATGCTGTGTCAGTTTTCGTGTTTGTAATTTGGCCGAGTCGATGTCTATGTGTCTGTTGGCCTGTTGGGTGAGGGTGTGTTTGTGGGGGCATTTGTTGGATAGTGAGGAGTGGTTGGTTGTTTTGCAGTGAATGCACCAGGGAGTGCAGGATCCTGGACATTGAGGTTGAGCGCAAGTTCTACATTTAGTTTTTTGATATTTACAATCGTTAGCGGTGTGATTATATTGAAGGCAGTTTGTACACTGTTTAACTTGTTTGATGTAGGGTTTTTCTTCTAATTTAGATGACGCTCCGAAGGAGATGTGTTTAGGGGCTTCTGGATATTTATCTGATTTTTGGAAGTTTATGATGACTATTGGCGTGTTGGTTATTCTACCGTTCCTATTTGAGGTAATTCTCCTAGTGCTGGTTATTTTAGGTTTGAGGGTGTCTGTGTTAAGATTTGCTTCGCTACTGTATAATTCTAGGTCTTCCTCTGACTCTCTAGGGTTTACTCTGATTACTCCTCTAGTGTATAGTTGCCAGTTAGGTGTTTGGTGGGTTACTGTGTATTGGAAAATTTCCGTTATTTTTTTGGCTGCATTAAGTGAGTGTTGATCCGGAAAGATGATTTGAAATCCTTTGTGAGCTTCCCTGATTTTATCGAAGTGTATTTTTTGTTTTTTAAACCATAGTCCTACTTTATTAGCGGAGAGTACCTTACTTAGTGTGTTAATGGGGCCAGCCGCGCAGAAGTAGAGGGCGAACGTGACCATGGATGCAGGGATGGAAGGTGATGTGGGTGTTGTGTTTGAAGCGTCCAACTTCCTTTTTGGGGGGTTTGTTGTGATTGCGGGCGAATCCGAAGTTTTGGTAGGAGAAGCGACTGTAGTTGGCTTTCCGAATTCGTGCGGGATGAGGGTTTCAGGTGTCCGATCGGAGGTGTTGTGGGCCTCCGATGGTGTGGGTGTGTCTGTGCAGTGGATGTCTGCCTGGGTGATTATGCGTGTGTCGGTCATGTCTGCTTACTTACTTACTTACTTTGGAGATTTAACGTGCGCTTTCCGACTGATGCGTATTTCGCACACGGGCCCGGCCAGGCCATTTAATGTGTTTCCGAAAGGGGCGAAGGTGGTCTGTGCAACCCAAGAGGGGGGTTTTAGGGGTTGCTTATATAGAATTTGGGAATTTTGAGATTTGGAATAGATGCCGATGGGATTGGGGAGGAGAACTAAGGGAGCTGGGTATGGTGGATGTTTGTTTGTTTATGTGATTTTGATTTGGTAGGTTATTGTGTTTTTAGATGCGTTTTATTAGTTCCGTTTTTATTAAGAATACGCCTAAGGCCTTGAAGTTTTCTAGTTTATTTTGTGGGTGTAGTATTGCTTCTAGAGTTAGAGCCTTGTTTAGATTGAGGGTGGTTTGTAATGCGGTTCGATGTGTTAGGTAGTGTGTGCAGTGGATGAGTGCGTGTTCTGGGGTTTCTGGTTGTTTGCAGTGTGGGCAGTTACCTGTAGTGTGTTTTTTTAAAAAATTTAGGTGGTTATTTAGGTTGGTGTGTCCTGTTTGGAGTTTAGTGATTACTCTGTCGATTTTTTTGGATGGATGGAGAATTTTTGGTTTGGTTAGTGGTTTGCTTAGCACTTTTTTGATTTGGCTATTTGAGTTTAGATATAGGTTATGCCATTTTTTTGTGATTTTTTGCTTGTTTACACTTTTAATTTCTGATTTTGAGATGGGTAAGTTTAAGCTTATTTCTGGGATTTTGAGGGATAGTTTAGCTGCTTTATCGGCGTTTTCATTACCGTATATTCCTACGTGGGCGGGTATCCACAAGAAGGTTATTTGTTTGCCTGCCTTAGTTAGGTCGTTGGAGCTTTTAAGTATTTGATTTATTAATTTAGGACGGTTTTTGGTATTTTTGTTTTGGAGGGCTTGCAGTCCACTTAGGGAGTCGGTAAGTATTAGGATTTTTTTGTGGTTTTTGGATTCTTGATTATGGAGGGCTGAGGCCATGCCCATTAGTTCTGCCGTGAATATTGATTGGTTGTTAGGGAGTCGGAAGGATTGTGTGGTTTTAGTTGGTTGTGTGGTATGGACTCCGAAACCTGTGTGTTTGGAGGTCGGATCTGAGGATCCGTCCGTGTAAATGTGACACCAATTTGGCCAATTTTCGTGTATGTATGCTAGTGTGGTAGTTTTAGCTATGTTTGGGTCGGTTTGTTTATTTATTTGGCTAGCTAGTGTTGTGTCTATTTTGGGTATTTTAAGTTTAGGGGTGAAGATATTTGATTGTTTGCAGTTTTGTTTAAGATTTTTAATTTGGTGTTCATTTAGGTAGTTTGTTATTCTTTGGGATATTGGGGTAAGTAAGGGGTGTTTACGAGCTAGAGCTTGGTTTTTGGGGCTGATGTTTTGGTTTATTAAGTTTTGGATGAGAGGGTTTGATTGGGACGCGGCCCAGAAATTTAAGCTTAGCTGTTCCCTGCGTAGACTTAGTGGCATTTCTCCTGTTAAGGCCTGAAGTGAGGTGTAGGAGGTGCCATGTTGGGTGCGTGTAATTAGTTTGAGAGCCTGATATTGTATTGAGTCAAGTTTTTTAGATAGAGAGTTGTTTAGGGTGTTGTATATGGCGCAGCCGTAGTCTAGTTTTGATCTAATTAGTGATATGTAGAGAGAGAGGAGGGTATCTTTGGATGCTCCCCAGTTAGAGCCAGTTAGGCATCTTAGGGTGTTTAGGTCTTTACTGCATTTAGTTGTTAGGTTTTGGATGTGAGCATCCCAGGTGAGATGTTCATCGAAAATAAGTCCTAAGAATTTGGTTTGTTTTTGAAATTTGATTGTTTGATTGTTTAGCTGGAGGATTGGGGAGGCGGGTTTCATGTTTTTATGTTTGAATACTATTCCTGTTGTTTTTTCTGAGTTAAGGGAGAAGCCCCATTTGTCAGCCCATTGTTGTATTTTATTAAGAGATTTTTGGAGTAAATTTTGGACCATGTTCATGCTTTTAGTGCGGATCCAGATGGCTCCATCATCCGCGAATTTTGATGTGTTTACTTTAGGGGATAGGCCCTCGAATAGATCGTTTATCATTATATTGAAGAGGGTGGGGCTGAGGATACTGCCCTGTGGAGTACCATTTTCTAGGGGACATTGGTCCGATAGAGTTTGGTCTATACCCACGGTTATTTTACGATTGTTTAGGAAGTCCTGGATGTAGTTTATTATCTGACCTTTGAGTCCTATTTTTTTAAGTTTTTGTATTAGCCCATCGTGCCATACCATGTCGAAAGCTTTAGAGAAGTCTAAGAAGATGCCTGTGGTATATTGTTTATTTAGTTGTCCTGTCTTAATATCTTGTTCTAGTTGGGCAAGGTTATCTAGGGTTGAGCGGCCAGGAGTGAAACCGCTTTGATCTGGGTTTATGATGTTATTTTGGGTTAAGTAATGTTGTAATCTATTTTTAGCCATTGATTCCATTACTTTACATAAGTTTGAAGTTAGGGATATTGGTCTATATGAGTTAGCTTGATTAGCTGGTTTATTAGGTTTAGGGATTGGTATGACTAGGGCCTGTTTCCAGGGAGTAGGAACCTGTCCGTTTAGGTAGATGAGATTGTATAGTTTGAGTAGTGCCTGGAGTAGTTTTAGGGGGAGTTTTTTAATTATTTGGTAAGAAGTTAGGTCTAATCCTGGGGCTGTGCCCTTTTTCCTGTTTTGGATTACGTAGAGGAGCTCCTCCATTGTGTAGGGTTGATTTATTTCTAGATTGTTATTGTTTGGTTCTTTTGTGGGTTTGTTTTCTGTTTTAAGTTTATCTTGGAATTTTTTACTGAAGTTGGTGTTACTGCTAACGGCCGAAAAGTGGTTGGCGAGATTATTTGCTTTTTGGGCGGTGTTGGTTGAGTTGTCAATGTTAGGGTTTTTTTTATGTCGTTTTAAGCCTCTAATGGCGTGGATTTTGCGCCAGACCATTCTGGCATCTGTACGGTTATTTATACCTTCGCAGAATTTTTTCCAGTCTCTACTTTTGGCTATTTGGACTAGTTTTTGAACCTGGTGGTTTAGTTCGTGGGCTATGTTTAAATATTTGTAGTCGCGTTTTGCTTTATTGAAGGCTGATTTACGTTTTCGTCTAGTCTGTTCTATTTCCTCATTCCACCATGGTACCGTCGGTTTGCCTGTCTTAGATGTTTTGAAGGGGATGGAGGTTTTGGCTGCGTTTATTATATAGTCTGTTAGGTTTTTACAATAGGTTTCTGGATCATTATTTTCTATTTCGTTTAAGTTAGCTTCGTTGCAGATATCTTGGAATTGGTCCCAGTTAGCTTTATTGTAATGGAATTTTGGTTCTTGGTTTTCTGTTTGGATTGGTACGTTTGTATTTCCTATGGTTATGTTTATGGGGAAGTGGTCACTACCTAGCGGGACGTCGTGCACTTCCCATTGAGTACTTTGGGCTAGATCTGCGGTGCATATGGTTAGGTCGATAGCCGACACTTTTTGGTTTATCTTATCGTACCTCGTGGGTTGGTTGCTATTAAGGAGTACTAAGTCGTTTGTTTCTATCCATTCGGAGATTAATTTGCCATGATTATCTATTTTATCATCTATGCTCCATGTAGGATGGTGAGCGTTAAAGTCTCCTAGGAATATAGTAGATTTATCGCTTATTTGGAGTAGTTTGTTTAGATCCTCAGGTTGGACTTTTTGTTCCGCCCAGTGGTAAATATTTATGATGTTTATGTTTCGGTTATTTAATGTGATTTTAATGCCGTTGGCTTCTAGGTTTGGCGTGTCTATTTTTATTTCTTCGTAATTTATATCTTCCCTGATAAATATGATTAGTCCTCCTGCGGCTCTTCTTGTTTTCGGTTTAGCTCTGTCAGTTAGACTATGGCCTTCACTTTGTGGAATAATTATTATCAATGAAAACGCGATAGAAATGGGATTATTTACATTTTAGTGTGCTCATCGAGGACAAGAGAGACAACTTTCAAGAAAACACTCACAAAATGTGAAGTTGAGAAAATATATTCTATTTTTGGTTTGATTTTGTTGGGGAGAGGTGGAACACAGACCCAGACATACATGAATCCACACGATGCATGATCAGGTAAGTTTACAACCACTAATATTTTTAAGTACTAATATCAGCTGGCACTTCAACACAAGCAGGTGTCTTATAAACTTGAATTCATATGTATAAATTCCACTTTAGTTGAAACATGAAAATAGTTGACTGTGTATGACACTAGACTATGGCCTTCACTTTGTGGAATAATTATTAACAATTAACACGCGATAGAAATGGGATTATTTACATTTTAGTGTGCTCATCGAGGAGAAGGGAGACAACTTTCAAGAAAACACTCACAAAATGTGAAGTTGAGAAAATATATACTATTTTTGGTTTGTTTTTGTTGGCGAGAGCTGGAACGCAGACCCAGACATACATGAAGTGCACACCAGTCTACACGATGCATGATCAGGTAAGTTTACAACAACTAATAATTTTAAGTACTAATATCAGCTGGCACTTCAACACAAGCAGGTGTCTTGTAAACTTGAATTCATCCGTATAAATTCCACTTGAGTTGAACATGAAAATAGTTGACTGTGTATGACACTAGACTATGGCCTTCACTTTGTGGAATAATTATTAACTATTAACACGAGATAGAAATGGGATTATTTGCATTTTAGTGTGCTCATCGTAAACAATAGTGAGCTCATCGAGGACAAGGGAGACGACTTTCAAGAAAACACTCACAAAATGTGAAGTTGAGAAAATATATTCTATTTTTGGTTTGATTTTGTTGGGGAGAGGTGGAACACAGACCCAGACATACATGAATCAACACGATGCATGATCAGGTAAGTTTACAACCACTAATATTTTTAAGTACTAATATCAGCTGGCACTTCAACACAAGCAGGTGTCATGTAAACTTGAATTCATACGTATAAATTCCACTTTAGTTGAAACATGAAAATAGTTGACTGTGTATGACACTAG